CTCACTCATCCACCCCCTTTCTGGCCCTGCCAGGCCTATGCTCGGATCAAGGGTCTGGTATGGAATTTTAGGGGGGACCCATTTTTGGGGGTGGGGGTTCCTCCTTAAAAATCATACCAGACATTAAGGGCCTGATATGACTTTAAGGGGAACCCCACACACTTTTTTTTTGTTTTTTTTTTACATGGTGTTCCTCCTAAATATTCCTACCAGACTAAGGGTCTGGTATTGTTTGGGAGGGGGAACTGCACACTTTAAGAGTAATAAAAAAAAATGTAATTTCTTTTTCTTTAACCTCCTGCCGTCCGCCCGTTAAGAAAAAACGGACGGACGGCGGACTCGCATCAGCGGGTTGCCGTCTCCAGGCGGCATTTTTTTCCTGCTCGCGCGCACCCCCTAGCGTGCGCGCACCGGCAGGAAATACCCGCTCGTTTTTACAGCCGCTAACGGCTGTTTCACATACAACTGATCAGCGGCTCTATAGCCGCCTTATATATACTGTATATATATATAAATAAAAAAAGTTACAAAAAATAAAAGTCACAAATAAAAAAATTAAAACAACCCCCCCAAAAATGTTTAAGTCCCCCCTTCGTTTACGCACATATAAACGTAAATGTGCGTCAGATGTGTCAGCGTGCGAAAACGACAATTGCGCTACACATGTTACGTATCGCTGCGAACATTGGAGTGAGAGCAATCATTTTAGGGCCATCAATCACTGATAACACTAAACTGATGAGCTGTAAAAGCTTTTAAAGCGTCGCCTATGGCCAATTTTGGGTAATGTCGTTTTTTGAGGTTTCGCACGCGTGAGCAATTTTAAGGCTTGACATGTTTGGTGTCTTGTTCTGTAAATTTTCCTTAATATAGTAAAAAATTAAAACCGCAGTGGTGATTAAATACCACCAAAAGAAAGCTCTATCTGTCCCCAAAAAATGGTATAAAATGTATTTCAGTACAGCGTTGTATGACGGAATAAACGTCAATCAAAGTACCGCAGCGCTGAATACTGAAAAATGGCCTGGATGGGAAGGGGGTGTAACACCGCGGACTTCAAGTGGTTAAAAATGTCAGTTTTGCTGCAGCAGGTTCTATATATCGTACAGATCCGCCACTTCACAGGCAGGTTAAGCGGACCCCCAGGCACGACATTTGAAGGGATTTTTCATTTTTATTCTTACCCTTTTAGTGATGTTAAAATCACTGCTCCTTTAAAAAAGTTTTTTTTGTTTTGTTTTGTTTTTTTTCATTGATTCCTGTCCCCCAGGGCAGTACCCGGACCCCCATACACCTTTTATGGGCAATAACTTGCATATACGCCCTCTTAAAGAGGACAATCATTTTCGAAAGTTCGACCCCCATTCACTTGCATTAGGTTCGATTTCGTATTCGAACTTTTCGGCCGTTCGAATACGAAACGAACACAGGGGTGTTCAGCCAATCACTAATGGTCTTATCTCCCATTTGTAAATTGATCTCTGCCTGTAATCTGATCTCCCAAACAGAATGTGACCTCCTAGTCTGATGTCCAGTGTGTGACCTGATCTCTTGTGTGTGTGGTCTGATCCCCTGTAAGTAAGCTGATCTCCCCGGTGTGAAAAACAAGAAAAAGAGGAAGAAAAAACGACGAACTCCCCAGTGTGATAGCATGATCTGATCAGGGCCGTCCTTATAATGAGGCAGCCTGAGGTGGTTGCCTCAAACAGCATCTTATTGGGTCACATAGAGATGTGGGGGTACATCTGCCACCCTCTTTCCGGTCTGGGCATTCCAGGTTGCTAGCTCTTAGCAACCTGTGATGCTCTGCTTGACATCCCGCCCAGCTCACTGAAGTCACTGGTTGCCAGGAGCTTAGAGGGATGCTCTTGCTGGCGTCACACTCAGCTAATGACAACCACAGCCGTCATTGAGCAGGGCCGGACAGAAGTACCTTGCAGTCCTCCCACCCCCCAGGGAAAGTGCGCTGCCAAGCACCCCCCCATCCATAACATGCACTGCCAGCACCACCCCGCCTAAGGTGGCGAAAATTGTATGCCCCTGGATCTGATCCACTGTGGGTAGACTGATCTCTCCTGTGTAGTCTGATATCCTGTATGTGGTCTAGCCTCCTGTAGCAGTCTGATATCCCCTGTGTGTCCTGATTTCCTATGTGCAATCTGACTCTCACTGTGTAGTCTGATCTTCTGTGTGTTGTCCGTCTCCTCTGTATGGTTCAATCTTCTTTAGTAGTTTGACTTCCTCTGTGCGGTGTGAGCTCCCTCACCCCTATGTTGTCTCATCTCCAGTGTGTGATATTCATTTGTGTGTGATCGGATCTCAAGTTAGTAGTTTGAGCTCCATTGTATGGGCTGATACACCATTAAATGTAAGCCTTGTATGTACCTGAGTTTGGCTTGACATTTGCTTACTTCAATCCCTGTACAGCAGAGCTTAAATGGGAAAAGGTAAAAGCAGCACAAAGAGCCAGTCAGATGTGCTGCAGTGCTCATGTGCTAACAATGAGCACATTGATAGGAGGAGAAAGCACAATGATAGAAAGATGAGCTTATCAGTCTGCTGCTTTTCCTTTCCCTGTCTAATCACAGGTTGGGGAAGGGACAAGACGATAAGTGTTACTTAACTGCAGCAGAGAAAATTCAGGTCTCTTACCCTGCCAAGCTGCACAGTCTTAATCTCAGAACTGGATAGACAAAAATACAAATCTGCTGGCAGGTGAAACAGCTCCCATATATGTATTTCATCTGTGTATTTAGCTGTTTGTGTGGAGTGCAGTCTTTAGGACAAGTTCAGATAAATCCAGACAAACACAGGAAGAACATACAAATCCCATGCAATTAAAATCCAAGACCCCCGGTATCACAAGGCGGGAATAATAACCGCATAGCCGGTACGATCCTGAGATTTAACCCCTCACTGGCAGTCACCTCATTTGCAATACATCTTTTTTTCTTTCTTTTGTAGTTCGGGAAGTGCCAGCAAGGGGTTAATGCTCATGTTTGCAAGCGATTACAATTTTCCGTACGCCTGAGCCGCTGAGCGCGCCGCCAAGCCTGCGGCCAGCTCGGGTGCATATCGCACACACCAGACCGTGCCGCAGATCCCCAGCAACAGATGCATCCTCTACTCCCAGCCAACAGATGCACATATTAATCTCACACAGATTGCAAAGTCACAACCTCCCCTGTCCTAGTTTGAATTGCATCTTTTTTTTTTCCCCCTTTCTGTCTCCTCCAGCAGTCAGAGCAGGAGCAGTGATGTTCAGTTTGACATTGCCTCACCAGCTTCAAACAGTAGACCACGTGGTGCTGGCTTCCAGTGATTCCCTGAAGGATTAATATATTCTGTAGGAGTGGTCCCAGTAAGACACTGGGGGAGGAGAGTTGGAAGAGGAGAGAGCGAGGATGCAACAGAAGCTAGTGTAGAGTTGCAAGGGGTCTGATCGCACGGGGAGGAAATTAAAAGAAACAGAAAATGAACCAGGTTTTGGGTTTGTTGGCAACAAGGCAAAACACGGCAAGAAGAGTGCTTGAAGCCATATTGAGGGCATCAGAGCCCTCACCCATGGAATCCTTCTGAGATCACTTTCTGATCAGCCTCCCAGCACCTGTCAATCTTACAAAAAGAAATTAAGCAGTTGCAGAGCAAAGGAAGAGACCTGGTTGGGATGCAGTTACCTTAGATAGCTGGGTTCTTCAGTGATGCTGGTGATGCTTAGCTGCTGCTTGCCACCGGGATGACCAGGCTGTCTGGACACCACCCTGCTTTGGCTGCTGAGCTCTAGTCTCGCCTGGTCTTAATGCTCCCAGCCCAGAGAAACTGCAGCCTTGCTTTTGCTGTGTGCAAGAGGACAAAAAGTCAGACTGGATTGTGGCTATTTCCCAATGTAACCTAAGCAGAGGAGGGTTTCTTCATCGTTCACCCAGCTTTGAATTGCACCTTTTTCTACCTGAGCTGCGTGGTCCCCATCCCTACCGTGCAGGACTGTTAGCTGCTGATTAACGCTGGATTCTCTATACAAGTGGCTTCTGATCCCAGGAGGGATTTCTGACCTGACTCTAATTTTTAACCCGAGCACTTCGGGGTTTACCTGTATCTGTGCCTGCCTTCCTATCCACAACATACATTTAAATAATTGCAGGAGACGACTACTAAACTTTGGAGTTTGAGGAACCCTTGTGACATTGACGTTGACTTGCTGGTCCAAGGATGCCCAAGATAGGAGAAGCTTTGTATGGACTAGTCTCAGCCAAATGCTAAGTGCTGGCTTCGCTGTTTCATTCTAAAGGAAGCTTTTCTAATTCTTCTAATTTTCCTTCACCCATCTTCCAAGTCTTTATTTTAGCATGAGGCGCTTGGAGGCGACCTTTGATTTATCAATTCTGGATGCATCTTTTTGAAAGCCTCCTCCAATGGTTATGCTACACAGGGGCAAATGTTTGCTCATTGTACAATTTCACTTCTAATAAGACAGAAGGACGTGGTTTTAACCCAGGAAGCCTTGCAGCAGTTATCCGACGGGCCAGACTTTTGCACTGCTTCTTGTCTATGGATGCAAAGATGGAGAAGAGAGTGGACTGAAGGATTCAAAAGCTTTAACTCCTGGTTGTGGTTAGACTACAGGATCTGGTTATCCAGGAAAAAGAGGAAGACCCAAGGAGGCTTTGGTGGGTGAAGGTAAGCAAACAGGGAGGGGGGCGAGGGGGTATAGACTGGAACTGGTTGGTGGGGCAAGGTTTGAAGTCCAAGCTTGGAGAAGTTGTAGGGTGGACTTGGGTGGAGACATCCAAGCTTCTTCCTGGATAAAGACAAAAAAAGGCAAGTTGACTTGGTAGAGAACCATCGGAGGGAATTCGGTGGAGGACACTCAAGTCTTGGTCTTAAAGCCTTTGGGTCAACTTATTGTACAAGCAATGAGGGCACCTAAAGCTGGGTCTTGAAGCTTGAGGGTTGTGGGAGAAGCTGGAACAAATTGGCACCTAAAGTTCGTTCTTACTGGAGAAGGAAGGGAAGGTAGCAGCCAAAAAGGTGGTGTTGCTGAAGTCAAACCAGAAGGTGGTCTTGTTGATGGCACTGCGCACTGGCACGGCTTGGTTTGGGCAAGTCCTGCACAGAGCCTCCAGGCTGCAGGGTACCTGGTCCAGAAGATCCAGCAGCCTCCTCTGCCTCTCCTCATCCCAGGAACACGAGCAGGGAGTGGGGAGAGGTGACCACCAGCACTGCATCCACCACCATCACAGCCACCCAATCCACTCCCACTCTCCAGGTGCCCAACCCAGCCATTGCTGTCTGCAACTTCCCAGTGCCCTCTCCACCATCAGGACTGGGGGACATGATCCCCTCAGCAGCCGGTTGCTGGCGGCCATGAAGCGGCAGAACGTGCGGACCCTGTCCCTCATCATCTGCACGTTCACCTATCTGTTGGTGGGGGCCGCAGTCTTTGATGCCCTGGAGTCCGACTATGAGATGAGGGAGGAGGAGAAGCTCAAAGCCGAGGAGATCCGCCTGAAAGGAAAATACAATATCACCAGCGAGGACTACAGGCAGCTGGAGCTGGTCATCATGCAGTCCGAGCCCCACCGAGCTGGGGTTCAGTGGAAATTTGCTGGTTCCTTCTACTTTGCCATCACTGTCATCACCACTATAGGTAAGTGACCTTTTTGACTATGGTGGGGTTCCCGAGGTGGCAAGCTGGTTGCAAAAGTTGGGGTCACTCTTGAAGAACTGAGACACCCCAACCCAACCCGATGATTAGTTGTTGCTCTTCTCACGCATGACCAACTCTTGTGGATTGGGAAAAGCAGGTGACCTGTAGGTCTAAAGTTGCTGAAGAACTACAGGTCTAAACACATCTTTCGGTTATGCTTAGCCTTGTAGTTTTACAGCAGCCTAGAGTCTACTGAGAATTCTTGGAATAGAATTTGTCTATTGCATTGTGATTTCAAATGAACTGTGATATCCCTAGACAACATGCTTAGACTAGTGGTCCCACAGCAAGAATAGGCTGTTTTTACTTGCAGCAAACGCAATCCATAAGTTATTAGTGCATTGCTTGTTGCAATAATTGTAGTGCATACTGCCATCACCATTATAGGTACTGTAGCTGATCTTCTTGACTGTGGTGGGGTTGCTAAGGTGGCAATCTGGTCGCTAAAGATGGGGTCCCTATTAAAGAACTAAGACACCCCAACCCAAGAAGATGACTTCATGAGTTGTTGGACTTCTCAAGCTTGGCCGACTCTTGTTGATTGGGCAAAGCAGGGTAACCTGTAGGTCTAAAGTTGTTAAAAACCTACAGGGCTACCTATCTCTATGCTTAGTCTTGTAGTTCTACAAAAGACTTAGAATGATCCTAAACGTATTGTGAATCCTTGAAGTAACAGTTGTCTATTGCTGTGTGACCTAGAATGAGTTGGGCATGCTTAGAATTGTAGTCCCCCAGCAAGTGGAGGCTGCTACAACTTGCGGCAAACAGAGCCTGCCCCTGTCCATTACAGTTGTCTATTGCATTATCTGTTGCATTAGTTGTGTATACAACAAAACACTTGAAGCCAGTTCCATAGTGTAAAATTAAACATTGTGTAACCCTGGAGGAAACATAGTAAGATCTTACAGAAGAACAGCTGGTGTATTTTGCATTGCTGGACAATTATTTACCATTAGCTTGTATGCTGAATGATTGCTTACACTTGTAGTTCAACAGCTGCTCCCTGTCTAGAGGACAGTATAAGCCTGTTGTAAATACAATGACTGCGTCTGTTAGAGAACATTATCTCTTGCTTACCACTGATTTCATTTTGTGTTAGTAATGTTGTGCACAAAGGGAAAGCTTAGGTTCTGCAGCAGCTAAGTTGCTGATGACTATACACAACTGTCTGAAAAAAAGATTATACTGTCGAATATGTCCTGGCCATTTCCTTCCAAAATTTGCACAGGGGTCATGCTTAAATTTGTAGTTCTTTCATAAATCAAGAATCTTACAGACCTGCTGCAGAGATGCTACTTTTACATTTATTACATCATTCCAGTTGCTGGCTGCAGGATTTATGGTGTAGAAAATCTACTTTTTTTGTTCAGAAGGCATGCTTGGACCTGTATTTCTCCAACACATTAACCCTTATGATCTAATACGCTTCTTATATTCCTTATAGTGTGTTCATGTTTGTATTATCTGTGTTAAGGAGGCTGTTAGATGTGTAGTTCTCCTGAAGGTGGAAAATGAAAAGCTTTAATAGGTCTACATCATGCACTGTATCACAGCAAATTATAATGTATTAATTTGTTATTAGAATATAAGCAACATGGATTTGTGTAGAATCTGTTCTCTTATATAACAATCATTTGGAACTTGTGATGAACTTTAGAAGTAGCAGCAATGGGTACAGGGGCTGGGCTTGTACTTGTAGTACTACTACAGCTGAGTGACAGGGATATTGTAAAGAGATCACACATCACTATAATGTTTTATTTTACATTTAACTACATTGTGTAGACAGGAATGGCAATTATATTTTTCAATAGCAGCCATGACCATTTATTCATTTTATGACATTATTAGCACATGTTTTAGCATCAAAAACTGGCATGCTTAGACTTGTAGCTCCCCAGCAGCTGTAGACCTTTTGGCACCTTTTCAATCAGAGTATGTCTTTCACTACACCACAATAACAGTTATCACCTGCATGTGATCTGGTTTAGCATTAACTCTAATGTGTACAAATTCTGCCTGAAGTCTTGCCCTAGACTGCCATAAAATGCTGCCTAAGCGATTCTTCACCGTGAAATTTTGTAACAACAGGCTGTACAGTTAGTCTGCTGTAATCTGGAAATGATGGATTTTATGATCCCCGTGTGCAAGTGTTTATTTTGTTTTTTAAAAATTCAATCTCAAAGTTAAACTCTGAAAATGTTTGATGGGGCCTGGTTATCCTTTTATTAGATTCTTAAAGGATCCGTCCAATTTTATTTCTATTTTTGGCAGATGCTGGAGAGTTAAATCACTGGATAATATCTTCTATATCTCAGGGACTCTCTTGGCGAGATCTCTGCGTGGAGTTACCGGGTATGCACAGCTGCTGTGCCCATTGTGAGTGGTTCCTAACATTCATGCATTGAGTTCCTGGGTCTTCGTACCTGCTGCTGTAGCTATTGTGAAGTGTTGCCACCATCCCTGCACTGAGTTCTATGGTCTGCACACTTGCTGTGCCCATTATGAGGTGCTGCCACCATACCTGCACTGAGTTCCATGGTCTGCACACCTGCTGTGCCCATTATGATGGACTCCTACCATCCTTAAGCAGAGTTTCCCGGTCTGTATAACTATTGTACCCATTATGAATGGTTCCCACCATCCCTGAGCTCCAGAGTTCCTGGTCCCTGAACCTGCTGTGCCCATTGTGAAAAGCTTCCCAACATCCCTTTGCTGTTCCTGGGTCTGACCACCAGCTGTGTCCATTATGAGGGGCTCCTACCCTCCCTAAGCAGAGTTTCCAGGTCTGAATACCTACTGTACACATTATGAGTGGTTCCCACCATCCCTGGGCTCCAAAGTTCCTGGGCCCTGAACTTGGTGTGCCCATTGTGAAGGGCTACCATCATTCCACTATCCCTCAGCTGGGTTCCCGGGTTTGTACACCTGCTGTGCCCATTATTATTTGTTTATTTATAATATGCAAAATGTAATAGGAGGAGCTAGAACACACAAAGGTGGAAGGGGACACCTTAAACTTCCAGGAAGATGGGAACAGAGTCTAATATCAGAAATATCTTAGTATTAGAGTATCCAAGACTTATAAGAAGACAGGGATTGATTTGACCCAATAACATCTCATATAACCACAACGTCTCTTTTTGGTGGACTGACCCAGGACTGGACTGAAAAAATTCCACCAAAAATAATATTTGGATATGCAGCCACTCACTAATTATATTACTAAGGGATTCAGTATTTGCAAATATACATAGTTACATAGTATTTGAGGTTCAATAAAGACATTAGTCCATCAAGTCCAACCTATTAGGATCTCATTCTAGGAGTACCTGTACCCCTGTATATTATGGTCCCCTTGGGTTTAGCAACCAGGAGATCTCACTCTCGGAGTATCTAAGACATACAAGAAGCTAGAGGCTGACAAGAGGTTGACTTCACCGATATCTAAAATATAACCTTTAGGTAGACTGGACCATTATACATAGGAATCATACAAACCATCAAAAATGAAATTTTAAAGCATCATCATCAAGTAAACGTAAAACACTGAACTGGGTTGCACTAGTTGTATACACAGAAGAAGGTAATATTAACCTGACTAAGTGACCACATTGAATAATTATTTGCGGTATGCAGTCAGTGATTGCTGACCAGATCATCCATTTATCTTCCTGCTATTGTGTCAGATTTAAGTAGATGGAGTGGAAACCCATTGATTTTTCACTGCTGGTTACTTAGCAATGGCAGCGTAAATGTTAAAATGAATTGTAATTTCTGTATGATTGCAGCATGCTCTGCAAAACTTCGATCTTGTGTGTATGCAACTAGTGCAACCCAGTTCAGTGTTTTACGTTTACTTGATGATGATGCTTTAAAATTTCATTTTTGATGGTTTGTATGATTCCTATGTATAATGGTCCAGTCTACCTAAAGGTTATATTTTAGATATCGGTGAAGTCAACCTCTTGTCAGCCTCTAGCTTCTTGTATGTCTTAGATACTCTGAGAGTGAGATCTCCTGGTTGCTAAACCCAACTCTGTTCATGTCCACTTGGAGTTTTGGGTGCTCCTGCTCACTTTTCTGCATTTAGGCTCCTCCTGGTACATTCTCCATAATATAAAATAAATTAAAAAATCCAGCATGGATGGTGGACCACTAAAGAATGGACACAGCAGTTGTGCAGACCCGAGAATTAGGTTCATGGATGGTGGGAACCCCTCGTAATGGGCACATCAGGTGGGCAGGCCAGGGAACTCAGCATAGGAAGGGTGGGAACCTCTCATAAAGGGCATGGCAGGTATGCAGACCATCAAACTTAGTGCAGGGATGGTGGTTGCCCCTCACAATGAGGACAGCAGCTGTTTAGACCTGGGAACTCACCCCTAGGATGGTGAGAAGCGCTCATAATATGTACAGCAGGTATACAGACCCAGGAACTTAGCACAGGGATGCTGGGAGCCCCTCTTAATGGGCACATCTGCTGTACAGACCTGGGAACTCAGCACAGGGATGGTGGGAACCCATCATAAAGAGCACAGCAGTTGTCCAGACCCGGTACCTTAGCACTGGGATGGTTGAAAGCCATCATAAAGAGTACAGTAGATGTACAGACCCAGGAACTCAGCACAGGGATGGTGGAAAACCATCATAAAGAGCACAGCAGTTGTCCAGACCCGGTACCTTAGCACTGGCATGGTTGAAAGCCATCATAAAGAGCACATTAGGTGTGCAGACCCGGGAACTGATCAGTTAAGTCCCTGAGAGAAAGAGGAGGTTGTGTGTGTGTGTGTGTGTGTGTGTGTGTGTGGGGCTTCATTCTCTGGCATGTACCAAACACCGTAATAAATATCAGTTTTGGGAAGCTATTTTGGGTCTGTGCCTTCGAAGGAGTGTCAGCTGGTCCCTATATAGCTCACTTTGTGATCTCTTTTGTAATG